CCAGGAGAAAACAAAGGCTGATTATTACTACCAAGCAGAGTTCTGTGAAATGATCAACATCCATTAGACAAAATTTCAACTGCTATGGATCTGTCACGATACACAGGGATTGGACAATGAACTGAAACACCTGTCATTTTACTGTGGGAGGTTTCATGGCTAAATTGGACCAGTCTGGTGGCCAGTCTTCATTAACTGCACATTTCACCAGTAAGAGCAGAGTGTGAAGGTTCAATTAGCAGGGTAAGAGCACAGTTTTGCTCAAAATATTGCAATGCACACAACATTATGGTGACATACCAGAGTTCAAAAGAGGGCAAATTGTTGGTGCACATCTTGCTGGTGCATCTGTAACCAAGACAGCAAGTCTTTGTGATGTATCAAGAGCCACTGTATCAAGGGTAATGTCAGCATACCACCAAGAAGGACCAACCACATTCAACAGGATTAAGTGTGGACGCAAGAGGAAGCTCTCTGAAAGGGATGTTTGAGTGCTAACCTGGACTGTATCCAACATAAAACCGTGGCTGCCCAAAATACAGCAGAATTAAATGTGCACCTCAACTCCCCTGTTTCCACCAGAACTGTCCGTCAGAAGCTCCACAGGGTCAATATACACGGCTGGGCTGCTGTGGCCAAACCTTTGGTCACTCGTGCCAATGCCAAATGTCATTTTCAATGGTGCAAGAAGCAGAAATCTTGGGCTGTGGACAATGTGAAACATTTATTGTTCTGTGATGAGTCCACTTTTACTGTTTTCCCCACACCTGGGAGAGTTACAGTGTGGAGAAGCCCCAAAGAAGTGTACCACCCAGACTGTTGCATGCCCAGAGTGAAGCATGGGGGTGGATTAGTGATGGTTTGGGCTGCCATATCATGGCATTCCCTTGGCCCAATACTTGTGCTATATGGGTGCGTCACTGCCCAGGACTACCGAAACATTCTGGAGGACCGTGTGCATCCAGTGGTTCAAACATTGTATCATGAAGGCAGTGCCGTGTATCAGGATGACAATGCACCAGTACACACAACACGACTGGTGAAAGATTGGTTTGATGAACATGAAAGTGAAGTTGAACATCTCCCATGGTCTGCACAGTCACCAGATCTAAATATTATTGAGCCACTTTGGGGTGTTTTGGAGGAGCGAGTCAGGAAACGTTTTCCTCCACCATCATCACATAGTGACCTGGTCACTATCCTGCAAGAATAATGACTTAAAATCCCTCTGACCACTGTGCAGGACTTGTATATGTCATTCCCAAGACAAATTGATGCTGCATTGGCTGCAAAAGGAGGCCCTACACCAAACTAATAAATGATTGTGGTCCAAAACCAGGTGTTTCGGTTTCATTGTCCAACYCCTGTGTATTGTTATTGTTTTATTGYCCAGCCCTAGCTGTCCCTCGTCTCTGGCCTGGGAACCTCACAGTCTCTTCTCTACTTTTTGCAGATGACGTATAACTTGTTATAATCATTGTAAATTCCCTTTAAGGCTTACAGTATGAGTTCAGTTCTAAGAATAGCTGCAGAAATTAAATAATGTGGCAAATCCTGATCAAAACTCCAGTTTTCTGGTTGCAGTCTTGACATTTTTAGAACGTTGACTTTGTTAAAGAAATAGCACAGTAGTTTGATTTTTTTGTGGGAAAAAAACAAAACAAAACTACCAGATCCCACTCCTGTGCTACAAAACAAACATTCCCAGTAGACTCGTTTATGTATGGTGAGTCTGAGCTCCGAGAACATGTTGTGAAGGTATCTGAGCAAAAATATGTCCATGTATGCATTCTTAGCTCAGCCATATGTACGACGCCTTCAGCCCACACACTCAGCTGAAATCACCCCATATTGCTTTGCAAACCCCCCCTCCCTCCCTCTCTGTCACAGGCACAGTCAGAAATCACAGCCTTACAGCCAGCACCCCCACAAAAAGTGAAAATGAATGTACTCGCCTCCTGTGGTGGGAGCAGAGCGAGAGTGTGGGAGAGGAGAAAGAGACATGGCAAGTGTTCAGGAGGGCTGTGAGTCACTCCGACTCACAAACATTAATACTACCCATCATGAATACTTCATGAAACACGTCCCTCATACTGCAGCCATGTTGTCATGCGCTGGTTAGTGTTTGTTCTTTGTTTCAGAGACTTTTCATCCCTGAGTTGTGTTTTATAATCATCTTTCACATCAGTGAGCGGCCACAAGTTCCCAAAGTGGCGTGTCTTTTTTGTTCCCCCTGAGGCATGTGGGAGTGTGTGAAATGTGAGTGTGACCGAATGTGTTTATGCCGGTTGTGTGATTCAAGTGAAGCAACAGTGCGATCACTCAGTGTGTGTATGTGAGTGTGTGGTTTGGGTCTCAGCACTGATCCCAAGCTGCGTCTCATCCCTCCCACTGTGACTCCTGTCAGCGCGCCTGACACCACAAACCAGCCCTTCTGGATGCAGACACGAGGAAGCTCGGCTTTCGTTGCCATTTCTGCATTTAGATCATTGAAGGTGAAACAATAAAGCGATTAACATGTAAAGCAGGTTTGCACGATACACATTAGGACGCCACTTTTGTGAACCGTGCCTAATCTAACAGAAGTTCAAATGATGTGCCTCATCAGCTGTTTCCCACCTGAGCTCACGCAAAGTAAACTCACACTACYGATCAATTTCTTCTAAGGTATATTTCTAAAAATAAATCTTCTCTCCTAAGGTGGGCAACTCATTAACCGCTTTATGATTTTTAATTGGAGCCAACCCAAGTCAACATGGTCACCTCAACCAACTGAACGTAGGTAATATATAAAGGTGACCCTATCACATCGAAACGAGGATTAAGTCCAAAAGTGGAATGTAGAGAAATAAGCAGATATAAGGATATAAGCAGATATAATCAATGTATCATTTTAATGAACTGTCTGAAATATAATCCTAAAATAACTTTTGAAGCATTTTTTTGAGCAGCAGCAACAAAAAAAGGAGGAAAAACTCCTTAAATTTTTGAATTTTTCCCTGTGAGCTAGCAATGTTTTTGTTTATTTCCAACTGGGAAATCTCAATATTGAAATACTATTTGAAATTTTGTCTTTATAATGACATCAAAAATTCCTCAATAAATTTACATAAAATTAGGATTCAGACCAAACAGTAATGTATTATCGTAACCAACAAGACAAATTAAGACATATCTTTGGATAAGCTTATGATATCAGGATGATCCAAGTATCAAAATGTAGCTTTTAAAGCCAGGAATCTGAAAATGTAATTAGGTTATTTTGACCAAATCTGACTTAATCCTCATTTCGATATGATGGGTCACAAATGGCTCTAACTCAGTTAATATTACAAAGCTCAGATTTGGTGTGCTAGGAGCTGAGAGTCATACGAAACACATACTCTGAGCTCTACTCGTACATTGGGAGTAAAACTTGTTTGCATATTATTTAACAAACCACTAGATATACTTTACTGAAACTGTTAGAATTGCTTAAGGTTAGGAACTTTCTTTAAATGCTGTATAACCAACACAGCCTAGACTGCAAAGTGTGACAGTTTGTTTTTCTTTAAACGAAAAAGGACTGATTCAAATAGAAAAACAGCTACTTGGAGCTGCTCTTATCATGAATTCAAGTCTGCAGTAATTAATGTTTCTCTCAATAGTTTGAATATCACATTGATCCAACAATAGTTAAGTGTTTAAGTGCTAAGTAGACTTGACTGTGTTTTTGTCTAAAGTTTCCTCTCAGAAATGTGTTGACAGCCTCCTTAACAGTGTATTCAGGAGTTTAGCTTCAAACTCTTAGCACTTACTTGCTAATCTTGTCACATTTGTGCAACAATTATCTGTACTATCTACTAGGGCTGCGCACAATATATCATATATCGCCATTGCAATATCAGTGTGCGCAATATTCATATTGCAAAGGATTGCTTGGAGGGCAATAACTGTTGACTAATGTGTTTGAAGTTGTATTTTTCATGCTAATGCAATATTTAGCCAGTAGGACAGAATCTCACAGCAGCAAAAAGTCATGTCAAACAAATGACCCTGCGAAAAATGTTAAAGATCACACAGTGAGAAGTACAGATTAGAAGGGGGGGGGGGGGGGCATATTGCACCTGATATCATCATTGCAATATTTACAAACATTATCACCATCACAAGGTTTTCTAATATCGTGCAGCCCTACCATCTACTCAACAGAAATCAATTATCCAAGAAGACCGAGTTTTGCATAATTAGACACATGACCAGAACTCGGAAGTTGAAGCAACAAAAGACTAGTGCTCTTTAGCAGACTGGCTGCAATAACAGTTTTAGGTTCTCGCCCTCTATGACAACATGTGGGGGTGTAACAATACACCGATTCATATCGAATGATTGAGTCAATTACACAAAGGCAAAACGAAAACGCTCCATATCGTCATCAGATGCCCAATGTGGATAAATGATTGTTAGATGGGCATATCGCGCATATCAATCGCACGACTTATGAATTGAATCAAAACTGTGTCATGACAGATTATTTGATATCAAAATACATTGTCATCCAAACAAACTGATATATCATATTGTGATTAAGCTGGTGACTTACAACCCTAATAACAAGTGGGATATTTTCCTGATTAAAACATAAAATTTCACATCATTTTTTCTTCGCGTGTTACTATTTGTTGATTCACAGCTCTCATTTTGTTGCTGTTTGTTGAAATATGCCTGCACTTATCCAGAGCTGGAAAATTTCTATGAAGTATATGGTATTATAGGGTATAGGAATCCTTTGTACACTTGTAGACTTTGTAAAGAGACAACCTACTTAATATTCAGTGATCTCCAAAGATTTGTACTCCAGCACAGAGTAAAACCACCACTTAATCTTTTCAAAAGCAGATCTCTGAACAGAGCCGTGTTTTTAAACATAAAGATTTGCTGCTTCTTAGCTTTGACTGTGAAATGTCACCCTCATGCCAACACCAACTGAAATGTGGGACTATTTACAAAGAACTGGGGCGTTCTAGAAAAACAGTTTTATTAATTTATTAACACATGTACATTAGTTTTCAGTGCTGACAGCATTTGCTACATACTTTGGTGTGATTCAGAGGTGCGTTTAGCCTCATTTACCTTCTTGTGATAAATGCTGACAGAATCAGAAGCACAGTGTACAAACCAGAATTATCTACCCTCATGTTAACTGGACTATTTCTGTTTTTACCTAAATGTGATTTCTTCTGTCCTCGCAAGCATTTACAGGCACTGAATGTTTCAGTAAGGACAGACTGGTGTGTGCAGTCTGACTCCCGGTCAAAGCYGAACAGATTCCGGGTAAACTGATATGATACAAAGAGCAGAGTGATTCCAACAGAACTGTTTGACTTTAGTTTGAGTAAAAATCAGTGGAGCAACTCAACATCCACATTACATCAAGCTAGCAGAAGCACACAGTCATTCAGTTTATGCTTCTGCTGCCAACTGAGGTCCAAGGGTTATGCTAAGCTTTAACATCCCCCGTCTCCTACAATCGAACAAAACAAACGGGGAGAAAGAAAAGCACAGACGGATCAGGACACTTCATTTTATACAGATAAGTAAATTTACATCCATGTCCGTTTCCTAAATCGATGCCCCACTTGATCCCGCTGAAGTCCCACCTGAGTCTGAGAACCGACCACAGTTTTACTGTCCTCTAAGAGCACTATGGCAAAAGGCCATTTTTAAAATTTCCATGAAATGCTCTTCTGCTCGATTTCTGGAAAGCTCAGCCTGCAGAATGTGCTAAAAAAATCAGCGTAAAATAGTCACAAAGTTCGGGTCTCTTGCTCAAATGTAACAGCAAGGGAGCAAAAACATGGTAATCACAAATACACCCAGGACATGAAAATATATATTTTTATAATATATATAAAATGTCTTATTTAATCCAATATGTACACTTTGCACAAGATGTTTGAGGCATACGTTCCTCAGAAATGAAGCTCCGCTTCACTGGTTACATCCAAAAAGAAGAAGGGGGATCACAGATCTCAAAATGTGCATCCGTAAAACAAATGGTCAAAAAAAGGTGAACCTCCGTCCAATACAAACATCTGCAGGCTGAAGTTTGAGACACGTAGTTTGTTTTAATCCATTGTAGTTTGTTTGGTCAGCGAGAAAAATAAAAAAAAAAACATCTCAGTGGAAGTGCTGAAGCCTCCTCTGTTCAGTAGATGACCTCGTAGACGGTGGCCTTCTTGTCACCAGAACCCGTCACGATGTATTTGTCATCTGCTGAGATGTCGCAGCTCAGGACGGACGACGACTCCTTTGACTGAGGAACAAACAATAAAAGCCACAACTGAATCACATTCAATCTGCATTAAATTCTGCTTTCTAATGAGTTTTCACCTAGGTGAAAACATATTTGTCATTAATAAAACAGTTAAAGAGTGTGGCACATGGACTCAGAGGCCAAACTGCAACAACTCTGTCAAACCTAAATTAGGTCTCAAGGAATGACGTGTGTATTTGGTGCACTATTTCTATTTTAACTTTACACTGCTTTTGAATGTTTAGACATGTATGCTTTACTTATGCTCCTACAGCTCATACAGAGCCGTTCACATCTGAGCCACGAAACATAATCYGTTGAAAGTTTCTATAACTTTGTTACATTTTGCTATTTAATTTTATTTTATTTCATATTTACCTGGAATATGCTGGCACCGTAGGGAGTCCTCCATGCGTTCAGCAGGTTATCCTTCCCTGTGCTCACAAACCATTTCCCTGCAGACACACATCCACACATTGTAAGACTACAAACATGGCCACAGGGTTCTTACAGACATTTACAGATCATTTCTAAAAACAGCAAACACATGACAGTAATAACCTTATCAATGACCATAAAAAACATAATGAAGGAGACTCACAACACTTCCCCAAGTTAATTATTCAAATGACCCTCTGATTAATTACCCAGCTGACTAGTTGGCTGATGATTTAATTAGTGACAGCAAGAGCTCTGAAGCATTGAGAGACATTTAAATGAACCATTTGTGCGGCGACAGAGATATGAGGCTGGGCTTCAGAGGCAGAATTAATACTTTTAGCATTAATGAGTTAAAATAGTAAAAGCATCTGCTCTACCCAACAGGCAAAGCTTTCTAAACTAATTAATATATTTGTAAAGTGCTGATTTGTTACAGCTGGTAATGTGTCAGCAAGACCAACAAAATCTGAAACATTCCATTTTTAGCAGCTGAAGTTAGTAGTTTTGCTTCATCAGCATAAAAGAGAAAAACATTTGACACTATCCCCTGGATTGACCAACACTCTAATCAACAGGAGTCCAAGGAACTCAGTAAAGATCTAAATGAAAGTATTGTACAGTAGATAGTAAAATCTTTAATTTTTTTTTCTAAACAGCTTTACATTCTAAGTTCATCTGATCAAYGATTGTACGTAAAGAAAACGTATTTCAGAGGTGTCACCACTTTGTCAAGATCAAAAAAGACCCAAACTGTCACACTCTGGTGTTCAGGAACAATACAGGAATCACAAAAGTTTCAAGTCTATCATGAACTGAAAAATAATGTAACACCAGTGTCGCTGTCTACATTAACCAGTTTAACTTCATCATATACTGAAGATTCTGACAAAGACAATCCTGCTACAAACGTGACACCTTTAAGCTCAAACAAGTGAAATATCTTCTGGAGAAAAGTTTTATGGTCAGATGAGACATTGATTGAGTTGTTTGCCCACAATGACAAGAAATATGTTTAGAAGAAACTATGTGAGGCCTTCAAACCCAACAACACTGTCGTCTGACTGGCATACATGGTGGCAGTAATGTGGTTGGAATCACAAAGGAGGAGGTCTACCTCCAAATTCTTCAAATTCACCTCAAATCAAAGATGAAATGATTGACAGCTTGACACATTTAGGTGATTTTACAAACACATTAGAACTGCTTTCTGACTGGATAAATCAGGCAAACATTAAGCTTATGGAAGGGCTTTTCCAAAGGCCTTTTTGAAAGTTTATAGACTATGTATATAAGTCGAGTCTATGCCAGGAAACCAACCCATTTAATTGAACTCTTATCAGTTCTACTAAGAATGGTCAAACATCAGCCAGAATTATACTAGAAGTTTGCTGATGGTTACAAAAGATGTGTAGTTGAAGCGCAACTTGCTAAGAGACATTTAACAAAATATTAGTGTGGTGTTGGTATAATTTTTGACACTTCATTGATTTTCCACAGTAAATTCAAATTTGTTTACTCATTTCTTGTTTTTAAAACTGATTGAAGTTGTATAATTATCACACGCTGCAAAAAACCATCTTAATAAAAGCAATAAAAGCTCAAAATTTAACATTATTCATACACATAATGAGTGTACGTAAACCTCTACTATATATACACTATATACACATTAGTTATTTTTGTCTACACGTGAGTTTCATTTCATTAGTAGAGCAGGTTGTGTGCACAGGAAGGTGTAAAGAAAACAAAACTGGTTGCAAAAAAGTGTTAATTGTATAACTTAGAGACTGCTGCATTGGAGCGAATAAACATTTAACCTATTGCTTTGTGTGTGTGTGTGTGTGTGTGTGTGTGTGTGTGTGTGTGTGTGTG